TGATACACTCATACTTCTTTGAGCTTTAAAATCGAAAATTGAAAAATGGTGATATTTATCCACTTTGATGAAAAATATATTAAAGTAATATTCAGTCGTCCATCATATAGAATACGTCATTTTAAATAAAAAAATACATCGAAAGTTATAGAGCATCAAATTGTGGGTTTGTTAAACATGTACCTATGTTAATATGAAAATATTCCGAAACATGCCATTATGCTTTTCAGTGCCCAAGAAAGGTATCTTCCCATTCCTTCCACCTCTGTACAAAATTTCTTCTGAAAGTGGCATTGTAGATAGATATTAATTGCGAGATCAAATCAATAATTAACTTGCCAACACTTTTTTCTAAAAGACGCCTCAAAGAAAATATTTGTTTTACAATAATTCTTTTGAAAAAATTTAAAATTTTGGCCTTAAGAGAAAGTTATAGAACAGCTGAAACATTTACAGGATCCATCTATTATTAATTTAAGCCTGGAAATTCTAATGGTTGCAATAAAGATTAAAGTAATCGCCCGTTTTATGGTAACAACAGACATCTGTTAGTTTAACTAGCCTAGATGTGTATAGGAAAATAATCTAGGAAATACCCGATCTATATATTACGGGTATATATTTTTATATCCTTGGTAGGTAGGTAGTTCCATTGGCGGTCATAACGACGCGACGCGATGGTGAGAGGTCTAGATTATTTGTTTTGATAACATTAAATGTTATCAAAACAAATAATCTAGATATGTAAGAATAAATTTTATTCTTACTAAAATATGAAATAAAAGTAACTTAATAGTCAACAGAAATTACTTATATTTATATCTTTAGCCGTGAAAGGCTAGAAGAAACAATTATTATTTTCGTCTTTTTTAACCAATAGCAGCCGATTATCGTGATAGAAGCAAAAGTAACTGATAGGAATCCATTTGTCATTCAAATATTTTTCTAGTACTCATATATTTTTTCCATAGCAACTGTTAAAATTGCCTTATATCTATCAAAAATAGTAGATAAAATAGTATTTTAACCACAAGGGTAGATTAAATGATATACTTTAACAGCGAGGATAGGTTACAAACTTTATTTCTTCTCGTACATTTTTTAATTGCTTTCATTTTTAAAAATGTTTGTATTCCTTTTCAAAAGTTATTCGGGATTTAAATGGAAGTAGTTTGGATATGGCGTTTGTCGTCTCAGCCTGAATCAGAGGCGGATTACCCAATAGGCTAACTAGGCTACAGCTTAGGGCGCCGAAGAAAAATAAGCGCCACGGCGCGGCGACGGCATAATTATCCCTGGTTTGTAGGCGCTTTGCTACACCAAACTGGACATTCAAAATTTTTGGCGGGCATTTCTTTAAAAACAAAACACATACATATTTGGATCAAAAATTGCCATTGTCGCGATAATCCTTTGATATTTTATGAATAATTATTTATCGGCAAAGCGCCGCAAACGAATAAAACCGCCGGCGCACAGTGGAGTATTTTTCATATCTACGAAATAATAATTAGGAAAATCAACCCTTATAGATTACTTTAATTTAACTGAATCTTTGTTGGTAAGATTATAACAACAAAATTGGTATGAATTAATTCATAGTCAGCGCGAAGCTACTCCTCAATAACAATTTCGTTTTGAGTGAAATAGTCAATACATGACATTATTGACAAAAAATAAACATATTGAGTAGATAGTTGTTACTTGACTGAAATGATAAATTTGAGAATTTTATATTTTTTTAAATTAATCATATTTTTATTTTTTGAAAAAATGATGATAAAACAGTTTCTGTTGAACTTTTAGCACAAAAACATTTCAAATTTATGATTTCGGTCTAATAATTATTTAGTCGACGCATGTTTAATTTATGTCATGATGGCAGGTATTGATAATTGAGATTCCAAGATCCTTTTTTTCGTAAAAAACGTCGTAAATGTATATTTTTTTACTCAGTAGTTTTATACAGGTTCGCACGAAAAGTTATTACTCTTCAAATCAGTTAAAAAATATATAGGTGGCGCCCCCTACCAGTAAGAGTCATATTGACACCAAAATCAAATTTCTCAGATCAAAAATGCCCCCAGACACCAATTTTCATCCAAATATTGACGTTACTTCAAAAATTATTTGGAAAAAATCGAAATAAAAAAAAACTTCTACACCCTGCATCTCCGAAACTAAGCATTTTAGGACATATATTAATACAAACTTTTTTACTTATTTTTATCTGCAAAATATGCTGCTGAAGTTTCCGGAGTACAGTTCGGACAACCCTGTATAATTCTTCCATATCTCGAGGTAACACAATTTCTATACATCTTTTATCTTTAATTATCCAATTTAAGTTTAGATTTCCTTTAAAAATCAGGCCCGCTATAGTACTAAGTTAGTTAAACAATTTTTTTAATGTAAAACCTCTGACGAGGTTTTTTTTAATACTGACCAATTTAATTTGATCAGAGACTAAATAGGAGCAATATCTAACTAAACAATTCTCTTAGTAGGCTATCAAAAATACAATTTGATATTTAGTATTGTGCAAATAGGTACCCGGCATGTACAATAAATAATATGAATTTTGAGATTCCATCTCCATAAATGCGGAAATTCTTTATACTCATCACTTTTTGTGTAGTTTCTACAACTATTTTTTTTCCTATAAAAACTATTAAGAGATTCAAAAAATTTAACTGAATGTATGAGTCTTAAATATGTGCAAATATTTTTAGGGTGTTATTTTGACCCCAAAAATACGTCTATGAGGTTTTTTTTCTCGATTTTTTCTAATTCGGAATTTTTTGAAAAAAATTTTAGAATTTTTTCAAAAAATTCCAAATTAAAATACCAATTCCTTTTTTTAAATGATCAAAGTAAAATATCTGGGTTATTTTAAACTTATTTGAAAAACGGTAAACAGAAAATATATTTCTTTTATCGAGATCTAGGTACCAGCCCTGAAAATATTAAATTTGATAATGATCTCTTATTAGGTTTTGATAATTTCGATTCCAAATATCTCGAGTACCATTACTCGTAGCGATTTTTACCAAGAGACCTTTTTACGTAAAAAACACCGTAAATGTATATTTTTTTACTCAGTAGTTTTATACAGGTACGAACGGAAAGTTATTACTCTTCAAACCAGTTGAAAAATAATAGGTAGAGCTCCAGGTAGAGCCTACAACCTCTACAAGTAGTAGTCATATTGACAACAAAATCAAATTTTTCATATCAAAAAACTCCCAGACACCAATTGTCATCTAAATATTGACGATACTTAAGAAATAATTTGGAATAAATCTAAATAAAAATGAAATACACCCTTTTACATATATCCAAATATTGACATTACTTCAAAAATTATTTGGAAAAAATCGAAATAAAAATGAAATTTCTACACCCTGTATCTCCGAAACTAAGCATTTGAGGACATACATTTACTTTTACTTATTTGAGAACTTTTTTACTTATTTTTATTTGCAGAATATGGCGCCGATGTTTCCAGAATACAATTCGGACCACCCTGTATATACAAAATTAATAAATTCTAAAATTCCAATACATTTTATATCTTCTAGGCCTAGGGCAGCTAGGGTTTCCTCGTTTCGGAATTTATTGATAGTACCAGTATACCTGTTAAAGTAAGCATCGTTGCCAATGTTTGTTTTGGAAATACCACTGTAATGCTTTTCTCCTTAAACACCTCATTATATACTTTCGCACTGAATTTCGGGATTTTTGTTACTCATTAAAATTTTTCTATTGTATTACTCAACAAGTACATAATCCGCTAAATAGTATTTCCTTAAATTTAACACCTCGATGCCCTTTCTAACGCTTGTGGAAATCCAAAAACATTTAGCATTATCAAAATAACAATTTTATTATTGTGATCAATTAATAGTCATAGTTTGAAACTCAATTAGAATTTGATGTGTTATTATGGTTGATATGCGTTTATAAAATAAGTTTATTACACTCAAAAATATGTAATATTGTTTTGGAAGATACATATATACGGCGTATGATAGCATTTTTTTAATATAAGTGAAGCATATATTACACACTAATTATTTTAAGTGTTACCGTTGAGGGGTAACTAACAGGTACTGAAAAATAAGAATTGACAGTTCTTTCAGTTCAAAAAATAAATAGGTATGAGATTATTTAATGTAACAATATCTCAGATTCGCTCATGCTATTCTAATAACGCCAAAAACTTTAAATATAAAAAATATCCTGCTTAATGAGATTTATTAATGATATAAGAAAATTTCTTTCAACCCATCAATCACAGGAATTAAATAGTTTTACCCCCATTTTGTATGTTTTTTATAAAATTCTTTTTAAATCTCAAATTGATTAGAGAGGTAGAATTGTTTTGTATAGAAATCTAAAAATATTGAAAACAGAGGTAGAAAGACCTCTTATATAATTTTAGTATCAGTTAATAATTTACATCTATTTTTTTAAGGACGCTGAAAATAAATGAAAGTTTTAAAACACGAAGACAAATGTAAGTAAACAGCAGACTATGGGAAATTTTATTATTACAAAAGGTGACATTTAGAGAAAACGTATTTGGTAATTAGATTAATTTATGCCGAATTATGAAATTGAAGAACTTTCTTGGCACATTGGCAACGTTGCGGCACATCGATAGCCGCCGAAAGTACTGTGCGCAAGTCCCGGGAATCCCGTACTTGCGCGCCGTACCGCATGCTATTTTACGTTCTCGCCCATTCTTTTTCGAGTCTTTATAGTTTGTTTGTCATCGTGTTTGTGTGTGTCCGAGTTTTTTTTAACGATTTTCGAAATACGAATGTTTTCTGAACTAGACAATACCCTTAAACGAACATTTTCTTTTGTGCAGTGATATTACGTGTGCGCAACTTAAATCACAACTTTTTTTCGACCTAATTTCCGTTATTTTTTTTTCGATACATCCGATTGCCCTACGAAAATGTCGGATAATCAATCGTCCTTCCATTTTCCAGATGCTGGAAAACTAAGTAGCGATGACAAATGCGAGCAGATCGACTCCACAAGTGATAGTGGTTTTATATCGAGTACGAATCTGATGCTGTCAGGAGAAATTTCCGAGGAAATCCCGCCGAGGTCCGACAGGAACGAACTGGGAAGCCATACCGATTCGGGAATAATTCAGGATAAGGAACATAAGACCAGAGAATCCATGCACATAGACAGTGGGGTGTACACCAGCGAGCTCTCCCTAGCCGAGAAAATTTCCAAGCTCAATCTCGAAGCGGGCTTTAACGACCTAAATCGCAAAGACCAACCGCCTGTTGCTTCCAGCGATGACGACATACCGTGGAAAATTTACTTCGAACAGGATGAGGATGGCGATACGTAAGTTAAATTTTATGACATATTCTAAGCCTTTTAAACGCGCTATTTATTCCATATTTTCTTAACCTAATAATCTTAAAGAGCAAGGTTATCGTTCATTCATACCAGGAACGCTGAGCTACCGCACAATCCAAAGATAAGCTGCGATTTTTACCTTTATTACAATGGGTATATATTAAAAATTAAATTGATTTAGACCCAAGGACGGGTTTGTCAACAAAAATATGAAACAATCAGGAAAATCCGAATAGCTTTGTGTACCGTCTCTCTCAGCTAAACTTTTTCTGTAGTTCTCGAACGGTCAGGGTCGACTACCATTCTTTCCGAACTTCCCTGATAGAGCTGGACTTCTCATCTAATTACTAAAATCAACGGTGTAAATGCACCTATTACCGCCAAAAATCCAGTTTGGGTTGATTTGAACCCATTTTTGTATATGTAATATGTCGTACCTACGTCTACGTGCTTTTGGAAAAATAAAATACTTCAGTCATATCCACTTATCCAGATAACATGATTTGATGAATATATTAGGTAGGTTTAATCGAAATTGCTTTGAACTACCTATCAGACTTTATCTTATTCAATGACTAAGATACACTGATGACGTAAATAGATCTGTCTAGTGCTTTTAATGCTTTTGTAAATTTGTTAATTCTATATTTATATGTAAAAAATCAAATGTGTATAATCTGTTGACAAAATATCGGCTAATTATATTAAAATGACTGTCAATTTTATTATAATTTGTTTTCTACGGCCTTGATTAAAGGTAGATGCTCTGTTATTATATCAGACGCAGTACAACCCGTTCTAAATTAGTAATTAATATTATTAAGGTATAGTGACACCATTTTTCAATTTTCGTATACCTAAGCGTCCAAAAATACGATATTATGCTAATTGATGAATTCATTTCTTAGATGAATGATCAATTTCACAAATTAAATTATTGCTTTTAGTAAAAATTTATAATTTATACTACAATAGATAGTATATCGTCACTAGGAAGTATTATTGTAATCTCTTCCTATTCCACAGACTACAGGTTTCTTTAATCATTCTTGGTACAAAAGCAAATATGGTCCTCTACGAATCGCGATTTAACGTGAAATCGACTCAACTTCGCTGGAAATCCCAACGTAGGTAATTGGCCAACAGTTATTTTAAATTTTAAAGAGCGGTACTGGCGGTACGCTTATGTGAAATTTGAAAGTATCCGTCCGTTTATACGGGGTTTTTCCTTATTTCAACCATCTGCCCACAAGTGTTCTCGCCGCTTCGCACATACGACGAAGGTTGGTTGCTAAAATAACACGATTTTTATTATATTATATTAATAAAAAGCAAAAAAAATACTATATAATCATAAGTTAAACAATTCATAGGCGACAATGAAATGATTGCGACAATGAATGGTCATTGACTTGGAAACAGTACTGGGAGAATAAAATTGTCAGCTCAGGAGTTTGGACCGCCCTTAGAAGGAAAATTCCACTCCCAGTGGATGACATGGGAAAATGGATGACAAAAAGAATTGAAAGGGAGAAACGTTTGCCCGGCAGTTAAAAGACCATGCCAGAACGTGGTATACTGATGCTACAAAAAACCAAAACAGGAACATGGATAGGAGTATTTTTTAAATACTCCGAATCAATGGGCACACAAGCATCCTTCAGGAAGAAAGCTACGCCATCGAAAGATGCGTACAACTTAGATAGGAACCTTATCGTCTTATACGATAGTCAAGGAGCTTTAAGAGCGATCAACTCAGTAACCATCAAATCAAAGTTGGTCAAAGAATGCCTAGAGAAGCTGAATAAAGTAGGAAAAAAAATATAGTATTATACTCCTACTCTGGGTGCTAGTGCACCACGGGATAGAAGGTAATGAAAAAGCAAACGATCTAGCTAAAAAAAGAAGCGAACACTTCACTAACTGGACTAGAAACGTTCTGCTTCCGAAGTGGAAATCAACTTAAATGGGAGCTCAAGAACCTGGAAGCCTCCATCCGTAACCTGGAATGAGAATCTTCCAAAGGCCTAAGACACTCGAAGATTTTCCTTGATTTAAGTAAAGGATAATCTTCGTATTGCCATGGGGTTTTTAACCGTATCCTCTATGAAACCTCATTAAATTGAAATTAAGAAACTGGTAAATGCAGATTCTCTTGGGAAAATGAGGAAACACCAGAACATCTCATCACTGAGTGCACCGAGATGACAGCCATTCGTGCTATAAACTTTAGTACGACTGATATCGGAGATGGAGAACTAACCTCTGTAAAACCGTGTCAGATGCTGGCTTTACTCAAAATCTTGAGACTGTATGATGAGTTATAACTCAAGAAAGGGGGACACATCAGATCTATAAGGTTACAGTATGATTATCTTTTCCTTTCCTATACCTACAATCTACAAACAATTCATAAGAAACATCTTTAAGTTGATCCAAAAGTTTAGACTACATTTTATGAGATGGCAGCTATTGGCCAATTTCACTATGATCTCAGATTTTTTGTGGTCTATGATCTCTTAATTCTGCAGTAGTTCTTTTCATAAGGTTGGAGGCTGAACCTACCATATAGCAGTTTGTCAATGGTTTATCATCAACTAGTAGTACATTTGTGAAGCTATTGCACTGAGCTTGCAACGTCCTCTGTTAGTAGACCTACTACAATTTTGATATTTTTTGTCTTTGCTTAGGTATCAGGTCTGCCATAAATGTTGGCAAGTAATCTACTATGAAGTATTTTACCTGCCTCTGTCCTGGCGAATTTTTCCTCCATACTTAGGATTTGTTGGCCAATCTCTGTTTTAGTGATCATTTGTATACTTAATTACTTTTGTAGCACAATAGGACCAATATTGTGATTAACGCTACCACGAACCACGAGTGTTATAATAATCGCACCACTAGTTGTATACATTTTATTTTAATTAATATTTATGAATGTTGACAGTTACAAACTATTAAAAGAGTTGGAATGTTGTTCGAGAAAAGGATGTTCTAGTAACAACTCTAGACATCATGTTATATTAGTTTATGATACAATTTTCCCCACTAATCGACATTAATATAACTTGAACTTCTGAAATGGAAGGGTCGGCTCAAAGAACGTTGTAAATAACATTAAAATCGCGAAAAAAATCGCAATCTTTCATTAAAATCGCGAAAATCGCCAAAATAAAAATATTGTTATTACCAGCAAAATAAAAACACTAAATCACCACAATACACCAAAACACTTTTACTTTTACACTGGACGCGCGTTTCGCTAACCATGTTAGCATCATCAGCAGATGATTATAAACTAAAGTACAATCTACAAGTTGAGCGTTTATATACTCGCTCAGTGGGCCCCGAGTGGGCGTGGCAAAATCTAGCCAACCGAGCCAGAGCCAACTGAGCGTAACAGTTAGATTTCCGCCACTAGAGTAGTAGGAACAAAGAACTTGAAGGAATTGGACCGTTGACTCTGTTCATACTATCTTTACATTTATTAATTCTGATGCTTTCATATGCATCTAATTGTCTGTAATTTGAGACTTGTTTAATTCATTTTAAATTATTAAGATCTATACAATGTTCATTATCAACAATATGTTCGGCAACGCAAGATTTATCCGGTCTACCATATCTTATCTGAGCTAAATGTTCTTTAAATCTAGTTAATATTGATCTTCCAGTTTGCCCAACATATTTCTGATTACAATCTTTACACGAAATTTCATAAATACCCGACCTTTCCAGTGGAGGTGTTTTATCTTTTGGATTACCTAATAATTGTTGTAATTTATTCTTAGCACTAAACACAAGTTTATAATTGACATTCTTAAAAATTCCTTTTAGACCACGGGGTAACTCTCTATCAAACGGTATCGAAAAATATTTAGACGTATCTTTCTCCGCTTGAAAAGTCGAATTTTCAGAAATCATTAACCTATACCTACGTTTTCTAATTAATTTATCAACTAGTGAAGGAGAATATCCATTACACTCAGCTACATTCCTAATGTAATATCTTTCTATTTCATATCTTTCGTTGGAAAGTGGGAAACTAAGTAATCTATGAACTAAGAAATTTAAACTAGCCATTTTATGTTCAACACTATGATGTGATTCATTAGGAATATATCTGCGTGTGGTCGTATTTTTCCTATAGATATCAAATTCCAGGCAATTATTAGTATTTCTAATAACTAATACATCTGATCGCCACTGAGCGAGTATATAAACGCTCAACTTGTAGATTGTACTTTAGTTTATAATCATCTGCTGATGATGCTAACATGGTTAGCGAAACGCGCGTCCAGTGTAAAAGTAAAAGTGTTTTGGTGTATTGTGGTGATTTAGTGTTTTTATTTTGCTGTGTAACACCAAAGGTTCCAACCCTCAACTGTAATCTTGTTATTACCAGACCAAATTAAAAAAAACTTTTACCTCACTGGATCGATGTAATAGTCTATTTACAAGGGTATTCCATGAAAAACTCCATTTCGTAAAATTTGTTTTTTAGTTCAATTATTGTCAGGTTGTTTATGACTGAGTCAAGGACTGAGTGGATGACTTTAGGGATAATCGGGCTTGATGGTGAAAATTCCGCCGGTATGGTATTCGTCTCAGGTTTGAACCTTTAAAGATATCCGGTAAATTCATATTCCATTAACCCACTCTTCTACATCTATAAAAGCGTACATTAATAGTTACCTAAAATTCTCGCTAATATTACAATTATTCTAAAACAACTGCAGTGTTATAACAAGGTTCTTATCCGATAAATGGTTTTCATGAACCTTATTTGGTCATCTCATCTGTCATTTCGTTGTGCTTCGGACCCTCGTGCTTTACCACTCAACACTCGAAGTCTTCTTAATCGCCTTTAATTAGTCTATTATTTATACATATTTATTATGTGAATTTTGATTATTTAGGTTAGATTGAAGGTCTTTAGATTATCTTCTACTAAATGATCATTCACATCTAGAAATTTGAAACATATTTACGTAGTTCTTACAATGAGCTATTTTTTACTTTTGCTTTTTATTTGAACTTCTCTCATTTAGATATACATTTCGATTATTTTTTAACTGTAAAAAACATCGTAAGTGGACTTATCATGATCTATCTTATTTTTGATGTATTACCTCATTGAATTTGGACGTTTTAAATCACAATTCCAACATAAGAGGATTGAGTTAAGTATAATATTGATAATAGGTACTATAAGAACAGTTCTGTTTTAATTTGATGTTTAGCGTCATCTTAATTTTTCCTAAATAAATATCTTGAATTAATACCTTGAACAATTATGTTGATATCCACCAACGTTTACCACCAGTCTTAATTTGGATGTTAATTCTCATTCTGTAATTATTACATTTGGTTTCAGTGATTCAATTCATTTTTAGTGATCTTTTTACCTACATTATAATTTCAGTTTTCTTTAATACCATTCACTACCAGTTAGTCTGCTTATTTCTTGAGAAGTTTAATAGTTTATTTAACATTCAGATTAATCTTTTTAACTACCTATGTGTATTAATTTCTCATTATATTGGATACTCTTTTATTCATGAGACAATATTTCACTATTGCATCCATTAAACAATTAATATTGTAATAAATGTAGACCAAGCTAGCGTTCCTGTGTAATAAATTGTTTATTATATTTTTAATGTTATACATTATATATATTGTAAGATCACGATTTGATTTCATATTGCTCGGCTTATTAGTAACATATTTATATCCATATTATTTTCAGTGCAAATTCTAAATATATAAAAGTATTTGAACTGATGTATAGACTTCTCTATTTAGAACATTATTTCCAATTTCAGACACCTCCATTCTGCAATTTTTCATCGATATGTCGAAGTAGCTTTAGCACTAATCCGCGCAGCCCCGCATCCCAGACTACTCGATACCCCCAACGACTCTGCGCAAACTCCCCTTCATCTTGCCGTGGAAACTGCGCAGTACCAAATCGTCCGATGGCTCATAGTAGCCGGTGCCAAACCAAACCCCCGAGATGCGCAGGTAAGTTTGATTAACCGAACGCGTTTGCGCAGTTACTATAAAACTTTTTTTTAACTTTACAGGGTGATTCTCCTTTGCATATCGCTGCTCGCCTTGGAGACATGAACTGTATTAACGCCATCACCCAACCTGTGCAACTCAAACACGTCAACGCCATGTCATTAGGTTATCCTACGCCAACTTACGAAAAGTGTAAATTAGATCAATGGAATTATTTAGGTAAGTTTATTATTTTCTAGAAAATTCTTAAGCATTTTTTTCATGACATCATTTTAATATCCAACTTATGTCTTGGTTGATGAAATATATACGTATTAAATTGTTTTAGATAACAAAATTTCGTGATATACTTCTATATTTATATATTTTGAGTTTTAAATAACAACATACTATCGCTAGAATGACATAGTAAGTTAAAATTATGTTAATTAATTCACATAGCTCGTGGACTAATGACGAGCCTACGATAAGTGCTCCCAAACAATTATTTATTTCAAGGGCAAGAAACTATCCATTTTAAAAAAAATCTGCAGAAATTTAAATGAGCTTACATATTTATTTATATTTTGTTAAACAAATTTTTATATTACTCATACAATTACGTTATTTGTTTTGTAATACATATTGTTAATTTAATTAGTATCTAAGAAATTTGAAATAGTTCTATTAAAATTACTATTGATTCATAAGGCCATGGGAATTCAGATTTGTCACATCAGTGCAACATTAAAAACTTCTCTCATTATCTTAGTAAAAATATTAGACAAAAAATTAAATATACAAAATATACAAATTCGATATCAAACTTCAATTTTTCTTGGATTAGACTTTAGACTTATTCTCTTTGAATTACAGAATTAAAATCTGAAAAATATTTAAGGATTATTTTTCATTTTATCTTACAATTCCTTTTTTTAATAAAAGTGGGTATTTTCAGATTTTCAATATTATAATACTGGGACTTTAATTTAGGGTTGCCAACTTTCAGAATTAAGAAATATAGGACAAGAGGATTAAAGAGCGTTAAAACATAAAAAATTTAAACGTGTTTTTTGCTTCCAGAAATATTTCTTTTCTGGACGAACTAGTGGGAGTATAAAAAGACACATTGTTGCCAGATTAACAATTTTATTAGCATTGTGACGATAGACGAATATATTTGAGTTTAAAAAAGTTTAAAAAAGGGAGCTTCAATACGTGAGAGAAAAGAGAACAATGCGATCAAAAAGGGGACTGTCCTCTGGAATAGAGGACGGTTGGCAACCGTCCTCTATTCGATATCAATTCAATGACTATTCCACCTCTTCTGAGGAAATATCTCAGTTCTATATAGGTATAGAGCAAGTTTGAGTATTTTAGGTTGCAAACAAACATACAAATTATGTAGAAATTCAAGAACAAGCATAGTACTATTTTGAATTTAAACGAAAGGGACTTATTGTTAACAATACACAAGTTAAGACAGCCTGTTTATTTTATGAGAAATGTTAAATCAACTTACAATTCTTTTTACATCTTATTAGAGTTTGTTTTGTAATACCCAGAATCGGCCTTAAGATCAAATAAGCTACATAAAATTCATTCATTTGCTTATATTACTATTAAATAAATGGTACACTGCTGTAATGATTGTCTTTATCTGCGAAATAACACGTTTTGCGTCGCACTTACCTGTGTATATAAAAATGCCTGTTCAAGTATTTTGCCCTCTCGTTTACAGTTTACCTTTACATCATAGGGAAATCCTAAGAGACTGCAGCATTGCCTGTAGACATGATTAGCGATACTACTTTTTCCGTATTCCATTGGTTCGAAATGACAATCAAAAGTATGGTATTTCCAATATATATTTTTTTAATATCTCTTAAATCATTCTCGTCAAGTTCAAAAATTAAATTTTATAAAAAAAGCACACCTTTTAAATAAATTATCTTTTCAATAAAACTGAATTAAGGTAATTAGATATACGTATGTCTTGTAAAAGTATGTAAAATTAATTCTCTTTTAAGGACTGAACTCATGAACTCAGAACAAAAAAGCTCAATCAGGTTATTACCGAATAGTTGGTCAAATCCGTATAAAAACTATCACGAAAAAGTGTTAAGTATTATAATATTATCTATATACCAATGAATACTTTTTCAATATGGAAATCGTTTCAATTCAATTTTCTTTGCGGTTGATGAACTACTATTACATCCGTGTTTTTCTGCCTCGTAGAAATGATGCCGTAATGACACACATATTTTTTCCTTTTATAAATGGAATGGGAAAGCTATTATTGCTGTTAAATAAAACTATACAGTAATTCTTCCTTTATTTTTTTAAGATTATACCTATAATACAAGGAACAGATTCTGTTTTTATTAATGTTTAAGTCCATTAATTTATTGCTAGGAAGTAGCAATATTCTTATATTTGTTTCTTTAAATAAATTCGATATTATTTATAATATGTTCTAAAGTCACCATTAATTAGTTTGAAATAGATATATTTTAATGATCCAAATCACGTTCCTACTATTAATTAAGAATACACACTTTTTTCTACACTTTCGTTCATCTACCTGTACAGAATTTTATATCATATCGGTTAACGTTACAATTAATAGCAAAATTAAAATGGAAAGATTTTTAATTTTCCTATTTACATAAGATTGCACCCTCGGTATATTTCTATTTCATTCGATAGAAAATGACACTCTCAGTAGAATGACATATCATGTCAACTTTTGACATTTTCGCTCAAAAAAATCGTATTTTAAATTTCAATCTAGAGTACTCAAATAGCTACTACAGCTGCTGCACCCTACAGGGTGTTACAAAGTTCGGGCAAAAAACTTCGTTTTATTGTTGTGTCCTGTATACCGGGTTCGTCTCAAAAGGGGCTGACAGATAAAACAACGAGATTTGGTATGTTAGTGTATGAGATAAATTGGGATTGATTGACATATTCAATTGTTTTCGGTCACTTCCAGTTTCACCGGAAATGACTACAACTTTTGATTTTTAAATGGCACCCTCGGTATTTTTTTATTTTATTCGATAGAAAATAACATTCTGAATCGAATGACATATCATATGTCAATTTTTGACATAGTTACTCAAAAATAAATTCTATTTTAAATTTCAATCTAGAGTACCATGGCTCTATTAAAAACACTAATTTTTAAACAAGGAGCTTTGGAAAAATATATTTTATCGTCTAATGTTTTTCGTGTCTTGTCCTGGTCGGTTAAAAAGATGCCCAAATCGTATATTTAATCATGAACTCAACAATCTTAATTTTTTTAAACGGAACAAGGGTGGCTCATTGGCATATTTGGAAAACGATTTTTTTTACGAGTAATTTGGTACCACACACTTGGTATTTCGAGTCAAATTGTCCTTATGAATTTCAAATAAACCATATTATGGCAAAAATATCGTATACTAACATACCAAATCTCGTTTTTTCACCTGAAAAAATAAACAAGATATAGTGATGAGCCACTTTTGAGACGCACCCGGTATAAATAAAAAGATCATAAAACGAAATAATTTTTTTTAGTTGAAGTGTATTTAGAATAACTGTTTTTTCAATATACATAGGTAAATTTATTGAGTATTTTTACTATTGAATTATTTTACTCTCAATTTTAGTATAAAATGGTAAATTATTCTTATTCAAACTTGTTGCGATGTATTTTCCGAATAGTTTAAAGAACAATTAAAAGTCAATTTGAAATTAATATAAGTTTTTCGAGGTACCACTAATACATGGAAAAAATATGGAATTTGTAAGCGATCAAGTTTTTTATTTGTGTCATCTTTTCTTAAATTTTAAATGTCTTCAATAACTTCTTGAATATCGAATGTTAAGTATCTTTTCAATTTTCTTCTTATTTTCTGATCAGTGATTTTTATACATATAGTGGCTTTTTATACATAAAATATCTGTAATGTTTTTTCTTGTTTTTATAGATTTTTTAAATAAATATTTGAATGTATCAGGTAGACTTTACTCAAGTTATCTATCATTCATTAAAATTTCAGTTGTCATAAACGTATTATATCTTTAAATAGGTTTAGACAGATATAAGTATCAGTTCACGTTTTGCGAACTAAGCTATACCGAATATCTGTCTATAGATAATATAATCTTGTAGATTCTTCAAATCGTTTTCTGATAAGGTGTACAAGGGGCCACATGTTATATTAATCACTTTCTGGAAAAAAGTTCGAAATGTTGTCCAAGTGGCTTTTATTGGGATTATTTTATTTATTGCTAGTTTTTGTGTTCTAACGTGTTGGGCTTAAATCAATTCAGAATGAAGAACATTTAATATAATAAACCGTCCAAATATTAGATTTCTATTCTGTTAATAATGGTATAATATAAAGATTGACATGATGGAGAAATACTTATTAATAGTGATAACACGACTTTACTGATCGTAGGTCAGTGCTGTTCGAAACAATAGCTATGCTATTTATTGCAGAACTTTTTGCATTAGCTGCACTTTTTTCATTTGAATGCTTTTTATTGAGATTTGACGTAAGCCAAGCTCATTCTTCTTGGCTGATTTTTGCAGTGGGACAATAAAGAACAAGTACAGGTTACATTAAATATTAAAGCGTAGCAAATATTCAATGAAAATAGTATTAGTTTTATTTGCTTATAATCAACAAATTTTATTTGTTTTTTTTTTAATTTGGTGACTATTAAATTTGATTCTTTACATCGATTCAAACTTCCAAAGTCCAAAAAATTGATATTACCTACTATATTATAGTACTCTTTCATTACTCCAATTATTATTATTAACTGGAACATGGTTGTATGAAAAGTAGATACAAAAGTAGATGAAAAGTAGATACAAAAGTAGATTTCTATGTTAATTTTGAGGCGTCGATTAAAAATTTTCAATGCAATTAAAAAATTTGTTTATTTTTGTTATTATTTTTTGAAATGTCAGTCCAGCAGTTTCCGGCAAGGTCTCCATTGGTGATATATTCTAATGAAAGCTTTTCTTGTGATTATCACTTCATCTCCGCATTTGCCTGGAAAGTCCAGTCACGAGAATTGCCACAAAACGATGTTTGATCAACAAATCCCTAGAATGGTGGAGAAATTCACAAGGGCACAGACATGTGAAGATGTTCATAGTTCATAGTAGAACATTCGCCAGAATTCACGGCAGACCTGATAACCAAAGCCAGAAAGACAGTCAAAGAGGG